GGTTTGTCCCTTTTTAACCCAGCTAACCCAGCATTTTTTAGAGTGTAGGGTTACTTGCATGTAATTATGCATAATTCATTGTTATTATAATAGTAAGTACATGTAACGTGTAACAAAGACACCATAAAATAAAGTGTTACCAAAGTTTTACATTAAAGTAAATACATAATTGTTTTAATCTTTTGTCATGCTTAATGAAAATATTATAATGTGATATTTTTTGTATTAGTATAATGCATTTTCATTTAATGCAATTAATTAAGTGTCCAAAAACATCACAGTCAGTTCACATTTAAGTATACTAATTTAAGTATACATATGATTTGAATTCCTGTGAACAAAAGATGCACATGATCAGATGTAAAAAAAACAAAACAAACACATACAAAAAAATAAAAAATAAAAAAACAAAGCAGACAGATTTTTCTTTTTGTTTTGGTGTATTGTCACTGGCTGTCATTTTTACATTGTGATAAACAGACGTAAAAAAAAACAAAAAACAGAAATGATTTATGCTGAGAGCAATACAGCCTACTTACAATTTATTATACGATATAATCTAACTGATGTTGACATAGCCTTCAGAATTCGCTAAACACTGTTTTAAAACTGAATTGGAGAAAAGACCACAAAGCACATATGATAAATATTTACAACTTGACTAATTTAATTTTTAAGCCAAAGTAATGGCTTCCAAGTACATGTCAAAAAAGCAAAAAGCAAAAAACAAAAAACAACAACAACACCACCACACAAACAAAAGATAAAACACGCACACACACACACACACACGGGGAAATAAAAAAAGACCAAACACAAAGAGCAACAAAACAAATCTTTCCTAAAGTGGAAAGATACAGTCATCAAAATAATAGGTAAATATATTTATATTTCAAATTGTATTGTTTTCTTGCAAGAACTTGGACGTTTCGCTTTTGGAATAGACAATTACCATTTCCAAAGCCCAGTCAATGATGGCATAGAAGGTAACTTTGAGTCAGTGTAAATACATCAAAACAATTAATCAATTTAAATCAATTACCCTTTTCTCAAATGCATTCCTGCAAAATAACTACAAGTGATTACCTTGGATGAGAAACAAATCACTGCTATTGAACACACTCCAGCTAACACAGATGCTTAATAATAAATCACATCAGACAGGACATAAGCTCAGAGACTTTGCAAAAAAAAAAAAAAGTAAGACCTATTCAAACCTCCTGATTTATACAATCCTCTTCTAGCCAGAGAAGAAAATGGAATCCTACAAAAAAAAAAAAAAACATTTGTGATAATACCATGGTAAAATACAGTAGTACTAAAATATTACCATGGTATTTACATGTACTACGGTATTCTTTGAGGTACCTGGGAGTGACGTGTCCAAAATACCCAGCTTGGGTAGAACTGATGTATGGAAAGGAGTTAATTTCTCATGAAAATTACTTCTAGGCTAGTTCTGTGCACTCATCAGTCTACAGCAATACTGTACTATTTGTCATTTGAAGGTTCAATATTTGATAAAGGCATTGTGAAAAAAATCAACAACAGAACACCAGTTGTTCATTATGTGAGACGCACCATATACTTACTGAATAATCTATTTGAAGATAGTAAAGCTAAGTGAAGTGTTTCGTGACATTTACAAAACTAATTTTGCGTGATAGTGTTTTTGACCTCTGACTTCTGAACGAACCGTGTGGAACTTACTGCTAATTCTCAGGCGATGGTTAGGTGTCCATTACTAGAGTCCTGAGGTGCAGGTCTGAGAGACCGTAGCTAATGTTTGTTGACAGAAACGATTTTGCTCCATTTCTCGTTCACTATCAATGCTCCATTAGCTCCGTTGCCGAGGTGAACAAAGGAGCAAACATACTGGTTGAGTGGACATTATCAGAAACGACAGCAAACTGAAAAAGAGGCATTTAAAGACAAGCTAATTTCAAAACAGAATGCTTGTTTTTTTTTTTTTTTGAAATGACATTCAAAAATGTCGCATTCAAACACAACTAAATAATGCTGTCTGGATTAGCGGTTAGCGTGGATGTGCTGAAAATGTGGAGGAAGCAGGTAATCATTCACACTTACAGTCTGTGTTCTCTGACATACATTTGTGTCAATCTTTAAGTCATATTAATAAGACGCTTACAACACAAACAAAGGACATAATAAAAATGTCTAACAATGGGAGGAGAAAGTGCAAATATTTTGGCTCCATGATATCATTTTCATCTTTTTTTTTCCTTAAGGAACCTCTTAATAATTTCTCAGAATCCTTCGTTGTACTCTTCCAGCAGTGAAGAGATGCCTTCCCACTGTGCTTTGTGCTATTGCCTCATCTTCTGGAACTTTCTGTCTTCAGACCAGACGACCTACTGGAAAACAGACAGGGTGGTGAGACAGGTGAGCGGCGAGGTGTTTCCGCTCAGCTTAGCTGGCCTGCAGATGCGCCAAAACACAGCAATAGCGTGACAAGACAGCAGCATTCTTGAGATTATCTGCACTCATGCATGCACACGCTCACATATGCACACATACATGCACCCTTGATCTTGTCTCCGGTCACATGCACGTACGCACACACACACACACAACAAATAGGAAGAGAGATATGGGGCAAACAACAAGGTCTGGCATTGCGGATGTGTGTGCTTTGTCTGCGAGCAGAACATCTCCAGATGCATCAAACGCATTCAAGATGATATGGTCGGTGTCAACTCCAATAATGCACTGGCTTCATTTAAAATATGCTGTGTGTATGTAAGCATCTTAATGTGGATGGGAGGATGAGAGGCCATGTTTGTTCTTTGCAAAGTCATGTGGGAAACAGATCCTTCCCCTGCGGCTGATGTGTAATTCTTTCTCTACTGCTACCTCCTTGTCTTGAATTCTCTCGCTTATCCATTCTGCCTTTGAGGTTGGGACGTCTGACATTAGACCACAAATCATTGGTGATTTATGCAAACTGCTGCTTTTCAGTATAAAAAATAAAAAAGTAATTTTCATAACATAAACCCAACATGCAGCACACATACAGGGTATTTAGTTCACGCTGTGTCCTGTACAGTAAACCGTAACATACCATGTAGTTGGATCATGATGGCATTGGGAACAGGGACATTTGGTGTCCACGGTTTGGGCCATAAGACTCCTTTTGGAGCTATCAATCAGAGAGAGTCTGAGGAACTGGGGAGATGGGTAAAGCGGACAGATTGCTTGCAGATGGCTGCTGTGGAAGTGAGTACAAGAGTTCCAGTGAAGAACCCCCTCCTCTTCCCCATGGGGGAAGGGTCTGACAGCCAGAGGGGGGTCCCAGCCCTGGAGAGTCCATCAGATGTGTGCGTATGTGTGTAAGGTCAACAGCAGGCATTTGGGGGTAGAGAAATGCAGGTGGATGCTCAATCAAAAGGAATAGACCTGTTGTATCAGCTAAGCTGAATTTACTACACACACAAACTTAAGGACTTCAGTTTTTATACAAAAGTTTAATTTACGCATACACATTATGTAGCCTCCAGTGCCTTCTCCAGAACTTATGACCGATAAAAATGTCTTTGTACTTATTTAAACTAGAGTTACAGGAATGTCTTCAGACCACTTTAATTATTGATTCCTTAATCACCAATAAATCATCAACAGAAGTGCAAGAAAAATTCGAAGACTTGCAGAAATACACAGACACAAACAATGGTGGTAAAAAAAAAAGAGTATACACTGGCAGTGTTTTTACGAGATTTTTGGGCTTCAATCGATATGATAAACATGCTTTATTTTTGCTAGATGACAGTAGTGCCACAGAAAATGCATACCCTAGCTTTATTTAACCAAAAGTGTCTCTGCTAACTATAAAGGTATATTGTGTATGATAATGTGTATGGGCTAAAAATACAATTCCATTACTGTGCTAATATAAAAACAATCAGTGTTCAGTCAGTGTTTTTGCCTTACAATAATGTTTGTAATGTAATGTTAAGCCAACAATAATGTTTGATATTCTGAGTCAAATCTGGCAGGAAATTTCAGATTTACATAATTTGTCCTTGCATGTTTACGCAATGTCCTAAGCAAAGAAAAGAAGAAGGTCTGGCTATATGGCATGAGATACAGTATGCTACTTAGTTGCTCAGACAATACATTTTTTGTCTTTAATTGTCTTATTGATGTCAGTGGGAGTAGAGTGACAGACCTGCCACAAAGCTATGCGAATAAGTTGCAATTTTACGTTTCAACCACAATAGAGAGGCCAAAGTGTTAATTTCCTTAACTAATTTTTTTCAGTAATAACTATGCTATTTTCGAAATACTGTAGTTTTTCAGTAGCAAGCTACGTTGTCCAACAACTATCACTATAAAATCATGATTTGTTTTAATGTCAGAATGAATTGCATCTTTTCTCTGGAAAGTCTGTTTCATCCACGTGAATCAATTTGCAAATGTAAATGAACCAATACAAATTATTTATAATTTTGAATACCTGCAGAATATACTTTGCAGCAAAAATTATTAACCAAAAAGTTTGGTAAATGTGGCTCTTTATCCTGCTTGTTCTTGAGCTATAATTGCCTCCTTAAGAAACTGAAATGTCATTTGCTAACATTTGCTATTAGCTTACAGTGTAGATAACTACTTTTTCAAAAGAGTAGCTTGTTTACCTGACGTTGAGCTGTTTTAAATCATAAGTAGCTTGTATTTTTATAAGCTTCAGTTTCAAGGTATCTTCCCCAACACTGGTTGAAACATACAATATACAGTAGGTATTGTAAATTCATCACAGCAAGCATTCCTATCAAACATAGCTAGTATTCGTGTGGTCACAACTTTTGTAGCTAATGGCAATGCGGGGGCGGTTTTGGGGCGAATTTGAGAGTTTGTCTTGTTTGTCCGTTAGCATGGAGAATTCTTTTAGCTCTCAGTGTCTGCGAACTCATTCTCCTCAAAAGCCCAATTCCCTTCGGTAATTAACAGGCACCAGAAAAAGGGTCCACTTTGGCCTCTACTCTTTCAGAGCGGTAAAGTGATGAAATGACTGTGCCATTAGGGACACAAAGTATTTCCCTGCTCACTCCTGTCCCGCTCATCTGATAAAGGCCAGGGAAACCAGATCCAGAGTGTCTGAGAGCTGCCTTACCTGACTGCTGATCTCTGATTAGGCTGAACATTGGAGACCTGGAACGGTAGGCTAGTGCCTGGTGGCAGAAAAGGTGTGCAACAAGGTATTGCTGATGCTGATTCAAAAAATTATTTCTACAACAATTGGAAGTGTACTACAAATATACAAAAAAAAAAAAAAAAACAGGGTTTTATACAAAACACAAAATAGTGGATTTCATCTGGTCAAGGGTTAAGAACTTATTGGGCATTAAATGGCGACCAATATTGTTTATACTATTCAAATGTTAACAAAAATGTCTTTAAAATCAAACAATGAAAGGTATTAATATCAGCATGATTCCAATAATGATCCAATAATGGGCAAAATAATTAACAAGACATTGGTTCTGATGGAAAATGGCAGATTGTCACTCCTTTTTTCCACCCTCAACTTTATTTATTTCTTCTTTCTTTTCACATACTCTCAGGTTTGCACCTGCATTTTTGGATCACAACCCTCCAGTTGAGAAAAAAAAAAAATACTGAGCACTGCAAAAACAGAGGAAGCTAAAAGCAAATGATATATAATCTGAACATACAATAAACTCAATTTAGACTTGTGCTTGTATACAAAAGTCCACAGAAAAGAAGGGCACTTTTGAAAAGGCGAGGGCAATTCACTCCCAGTCAGTGCCGAACTTCCCAAGCAAGCAGTCTGCTTCCTTTTTTACATACTCCATAGAAAACATCACCATGATGTCATCCATAATTATCGTAAATGACTAAGATGCAACAAATCAGTGTGTCTGCAACATTCTCCCAGCCAGATGCTTAAAGCGTCTTGTTCACAAAGCTAATGGCATGCACACACAAAGCCTCTTTCTTACGGCAGAAATAAAGAGTCGAGAGTGAGTCAACCCTCACGTCTCCTGTCAAAATTAAAGCAAACAGACTGACATATTTTCCAGCTCACTAAAACCTCTTCAGTCTGGCATCTACTTTTTGTCCACCCTTCACCAACTGGGCATTTTTACCGCTCAAAAAGAATTCAGTGGCATGCATTCTGTCTTAAATATGCTTCTAAAAACTTTAAACTAAGCTAATGAAAGGAAGTACCAAAATAAGTGTTACAGTGTACTGGTAGAATCTGTAGAAATGTGCAGCACAGGTGGGTTCCATATAGTGATATTTGTCCTTAAACAATTAGCCTGGAAGGATGGCCCACTCCTGTGTTAAGAGCCTGCTTAATTTCCAACAAAGACATAAAAACTAAGCTGCACATTAGACGCTAATAATTAATGCATTTAGTTCTAGAGTTTCTTACATACAATGAAAAGAATGCATGTACAATAGATGTCACACTTTTTCTTTTTCTTTCTATTTTTTTTTTTTTTTTAATCTGGGACCTCACTATAGTATGTAACTCTAAACTCTAAGTAACTATACTTCAACTTAATTTCCCAACCAAAAAAAAAAAGAAAAAAAGGATGAGTCAATGCAATCTGATATCTTTGTCTGGCGCAAGTTTGAGGCGTAAGTTGGTGCTTTACCTAGCAATTATAGTGTCTGCATTTGAGAGGTCTAGTATGGAATAGTGCTGACCATTCGAGGGAGCCAATGGTTTTAAAAAAGTTGAAAATAAAGAACTGAGAAATGAAGACCATGAGCGTGCGTCTTTACCAAAAAAAAAAAAACATGGCTTGGCTGCTTTTGGACACCTCTGAGCTGAAGGCCAACTTGGTCTGGCTGAATGATCAATGACCATCCTAAGACAGCCAAGACCAGAAAAGCAGCTTAGGTTTTAGAAGTTTTCTGACAAAACGACACTATTCTTTGCTAACACTCAAATTGTCACAGTTATCCGCGTTCCAGTGGATGACTTAGGATGTAGGCGTAGCTTAAGCTCCGGTGAGAATATGCTAGTCTTGCGAGAACCAAGTTTTGTTCACAGCAAAAGAAAACCAGTCTCCTCTTGGCTTATATCAAAATCCTCCATCATTTTCTTTTCAAATCCTTGTCTTGTACTTCTAATTTGTGACTGGTGTTTTGTTTTGCGCTCTCCACTACGCTTTCACGTTCGTCACTTCTCACCAGAGCCTACGCTACGCTAGTACTTTTTATGTTGGATGGATGCAACTTATTGGACTTCAAAATCTCAACACGTATTCACTGCCATTATAAAGCTTGGAAGAGCCAGGACATATTTTAATATAACTCCGATTGTATTCGTCTGAAAGAAGAAAGTCATATACACTTAGGATGGCTTGAGGGTGTGTAAATCATG